CACTGACTGCTGACTCACCACCTCGGTCACGTCCGGTTCCAAATTTGGTCGTGCATTTACCACGTGAGTCTTAACCCAGACAATGTCCCCTTTCTTGTATTCCCCTTCGGTTACTTGTGATGCAGGCGGGGACATCGCGTCGATGCCTCTCACCCGGACGTGGTATGTGTGCAGTACATCAGCCGGTGCCGTGGAAGGTGAAAGGTTGTCCTTAGGTGTGACGTTATGCCAGTAAACCGCTTCCAAGACTGAACAATTTTTTTCTGGCCGCTATGGTTTTGACGCTTCTGTGGTTGCGTTCCACAATGCCATTTCCAGACGGCACGTAAGCGCACCGGAACCTCAAATGCACGCCCCAGCTGTTTACAAATTCCCTAAATTGTCTGCAAGTGAACGTGGTGTCATTGTCAGTCAGTATTTCAGTCGGCGGGCCTCGTTCGTAGAAGACTGTCTCCAACTGACGAATGACACCAGCAGAGTCTTGCCGTCTCAGTGGCCGCCATACCGCAAAACGTGAGGGACCACAGTCAATGAGCGTAAGAAAATGGCTACCATTGTAATGGGTCACGTCCATTGCTAACCTGCTCCATTTTTTTCTCACACTTAAATTTCCTTTCTTCCAATGCCCTGGTGCTGGATCGATCGATTGGCAGGCTTCACAGGTTCTAACAACAGATTTTACCAGTTCCTTAGACACCGTTGGATCTACAGTCCTAGCAAAGTACATTGTTCTTTTAACACCTGGGTGCCCACTCTGCTGGTGGATGTGGGTCACCTGACGTTTGCTCAACTGGCTCGTTGCAGTGGCACAACTCACTTGCACCGGTTCTCCTCCTTTCTTGTGCATCTCCAACCAGCGTTGCGGCACTCTGGTGAGGCTGTCAGCGCGGTTCTGACAAGATTTTACCAATGTCACAGTCATAGTCAGTGCGTACTCCTCCACCAGAGCTCGCAGTGTCTCTAATTTCACCCGCTGCCTTCGTGTTCACGCGCGTCTTTCCTGTCAGGGTGTCAGACACCCACCGATGCACACATGCTGAATCGGTGACCACATGCATTGCAGGGCAAGATTCACGTCCTTGATCACAGCATCAAGCTCAGCAAGATTAATGTGTTTGGCATCATTGGTTGGACGCAACCAGCAAGCATCTTCCACGACGCTCCCATTCACCTCTAGTGCTACTCCCGTGGCAACGGAGCTTGCATCCACCCAAACTGTCATTTCATTGCCGTTCACACACCAGTCTCCGCCGACAGGATCCGATTCCCGCACTCTGGCCACTGTTTTCTCCAGCATACGTCCAAGAGTGGCATCCTTTATCTCGTCGTCCCATCCTTTGGTTAGTGTACTTGCATAACGCTTAATAAATGCAGTTGCCACCCTAAGCCAACCGCACACAGGGAAATGACCCACGAGTTTCTCGCACAAGGAAAATACGCTTCGGCGGGTCACCTTTTGAGCAATTTCTGGAACTTGACCTCCCCGCTTCCATCGAAGGGAGTTGCTTTCTTCCCAGACTTGCAGACCCAGGACCTTAGTTCCGTCTCTCAATCGCTCCGGATCTTTACAGACTAGCCCGTAATCTGCAAAGTGCTGTCTTACGCGCGCTGCAGAAACTAGGCCTTCATTTATGAAGATATCGTCGACGTATGCCGACGTGGCACTCTTAATGTCCTGATCCTGGGACGTTATCATGTCGATCACTGACTTCATGACAAGTGGTGCCACATTCAGGCCAAAACCCAAACGCGTAAGGCAAAACCGCTTGCCCTTAATGACCACTGTTTGAAACGGCCATAGCGATTTGTCAATGTGAATCTGTAGGTACGCATTTCTCAAATCCAACAGCGACACGTCAGCTCCTTGTCGTCGCCATTCTCGTAATTTCTGCGCACACACCTCTGCGTCAGCCGTGAATGCGTCTACAAAGCCGTTCAACTCCCGATAGTCAAGTACCGGCCGGACCTTCTGTTTGTGTTCTTGTACGACCGCCATTAAGGGAATTAATCCCTTGGGTGGGCCAAGCTCTTTCTCGGGATATGGCAGTAGCCATCCGTCTCGCTGCCACCGTGCTAGTTCTTCATCGTATGCATCCCGGACGTGGCCAGGTACTGTGTACTCCTGTACTTTATTGACCAACTTGTTAGGTGAATGACCACTTGCCCACTTCCACAATGCAGTCCACGTTTTCGTGCTCGGGTTAAACGTCACTCTAAAGTCAGGTTTGTTGATAACAATGGCGGCACATGTGTTCAGGTTTCCGAAACGCGCTTCGCCTGATTCGGTTAAGTGAACACCTCCGAGCACTTTGATTGCATCAATCCCGAGAAGAAGATCGAATCCTAGCAACTGCCCTTCCACGACCAGAACCTCAACAGTCACAGGCTGAATCCGCTCGACGCCCAACTTAATTTTACCGTATCCACGGCACTTCAGGGTCTTCCCGTCGGCAGTCAACACTCCCACCTCTTCCTGCTTCCAGCAGCGACACACAGTCTTGCTCACCAGCGTCTGTGAGCATCCCGAATCCACCAGAGCTGTACACTCTACTCCATCTACAAATACTTGTACGGTGGGTAACTTCCGGGTTTTTACTTGCTCGGGGAGAAGGCTGGCGCTGATGCCTTCTCCCCTTGGGCGTTTCCCTGGCATTCTGAGGAAATGTGTCCAATGCCATTGCATCGAAAACACCACTTGTCGCGGCCAGACCTCTGCGTTCTGTTCGACCTCTCCTGACGTCCTTGTGTACAATTCTTCACCATATGGTTGGGTCCAGAGCACTTGTAGCAGGTAATCGTTCTGCTAACAGATTTGGCAGGGGGAACCTCAGCTTCTGAGCGCGGTAGCTCTACGGATGCGGCGGCCAATACCTGGCATCCTTCGTCATCCGTCATAATAGCCCTTGCTCGGGTCAGAATCTGTTCTAGATTCATGTCGTCCATCCTGGAAGAAGCTTTGAGAAGCTGCCTAACATGATGTGACAGTCCTGACACGAATGCACATGCCATCCACCGATCAGGTAGCGGTTCCCCTATTAGCCGCGCCAAACGATGCATTTCAGCCAGGAATTCATCCACAGTTTCCCCTGGGCGAAGACGCCGTCCCATAAATTGGTCGAACGCATTAAATCTGTCAGTCGCATATGCAGTCATAAGGGCCCGTTTAATTTGCTCCGCGTCTGCCCGCTGCTCTCCACTGAGTTGTCTATACACAGCAAGGGCACCACCTCGAAGTCGTAGAGGCAAGATGCGCTCGATCTTGTCTATGGCACAAAGTTCGCAGACCAATTCCACATTTTCTATCCATTCAACAATGGGCATATCCGTTGGGGCGCCGCTGAATTCTGGAATCAAACGGACGTCAAAGACCTTGCCTTCCATTTTGAAGAATCAATAAGCCGAAATAGCTTGAGGCGAATGAAGAAAATAGTAACCAGCGAGTAAATTCAAGCTCTCCCAACTGGTATTTCAAACTTGAGTCGTTCCTTCTTGAGTTGTCTCCAAATCACACTAACTGCCCGTTCTTGCCGTCAACCGTGAACGTCTCTCGAAGAACTCCCCGACTCGGAAAAAAGTAGTTCTTTTTATAATTGTTCATATACCCATAATCCCTTGCGTCTTCACGTGATCCCATAATTCATTGCGTCCATGTCCCATAATGCATTGCATCGTTATTGCATAAAAATGCGATGCCAGTCCCCCCTCATTCTTTTAAGTTACCTGGCCGAGGATGGATTACGGCAGAGCGGTAAGTGCTTTTTTTTTCTCTCCCTCATTTCAACTGCAGTAGCTTTACATGCTAAGCAAATACGGGCTCTTTTTTGGCAAGTCGCGACCAGTTGTGCTGGTCCCAGGTTCTGTCTCATGTCCGCCACAGATTCATAGGTTTCCAAAGGTGACCAGGGACTACTACAGACTGAGGGAGCTAAGTGACCTCCTCACCGAACTCCAAGCAGCTAAGGATGATGGAGATCTCCCTGGTCTTGCCCTCCTGGACACTGCTCGGGGTCTCAGGCCTATAGTGGAGAAGCTTCCACCTACACTACGGGACCAATGAACCTCCCATGGCACTGCATACAAGCGGAAATATCAAGTGCCATTCCCTCCATTTTCTGTTTTTACTAAATTCATTGAGCAGTAAGCAGAGAACAGGAACAACCCCAGCTTTCGTCTTACCACAAATACTTGGCCCTCACAAAACATGGACCGAGCAACCACACCACATCAAAAAGAGATTTCGGTCCACAGGACTCAAATTGCGTCTAAGGACATCAAAGAGATATGCCCCATCCATAACCTGCCTCACTCTCTTCGCAGTTGCCGGGCATTTAGAAGTAAACCTTTTCCGATGTTGTTCTACCCATGTCAACAAGGACTGCATGTTCGAGCCTAAATGCGCTGAATGTGGCAGTGAAAGCCACAACAATGCCCTTCACCCTGGACCTGTTCCACAAACGACGCCCATCAGAGCCATGCCAAACCATGGCGGGGAGAACAACGACGTAACAGCCCACTGTGGTGGCAACCTAATCGACAAATCCTGTTCTAAAATTTGCCTAGTGAAGGTACATCCCCAAGGTCAGAGAAACAAGGCACTAGGATGCATGCTGTGATCGACGAACATAGCAACAGGTCGCTTGCTTGTCCAGAGTTCTTCGAGTTGCTCAGCGACTGCGACCCCACGTCTTCTTACTCACTTAGGACCTGCTCTGGGGGGTCATAGAAACGGTTGACAGAAGAGCCTATGGGTACAGAATTGAATCCATAGATGGACGCATTTAGCCTCCCGCTTCCAACACTAATTGAGTGCGCTGATAATCGCTCGGAAATCCCAACGCCAGAAGCAGCCCTTCATCACAAGCATTTGGCTAGCATATCAGCGGAGATTCCCAACTTGGACCATGAGGCCCCTATTTTGCTACTCCTGGGTCGTGACATTATCGACATACATAAGGTTCAAACTAGACATGGGCATCCATCCCATGTCTTGTGGGGAATGTATGCCTCGGGGAACGCATAAATCATCCACTGTAGACACCTTCTTCACCAGCACCCGAGAAGGAGGCCGCCCAAAAAACTTTGGGCCTTGTCCCAATACGTTCCAGGCCAAGGAAAGATACCACCAGAAAGAATTGGGTAGCTCCGTTTTTCGACTGACTAAGGAAGACGACCGACTGGCCTACTCTATAGAAGACAGAATCTTCCACGATATCATGGAAAAAGGCGTGAGGAAGAATAGTCGCTGCAGCTGGGTGGCGCCTCTTCCACTCAAGCCATCCAGACTTCGGCTTCCTAATAACCGACAACAAGCAGTCAGTCGGCTCAACTCACTGACTCGCCAATTCAGGAGGAAGCCGCATTTGACACAGGACTTCTGGAGTATCATTGAATAACGCCCTATTAACCGGGCCAGATCTAAACAACGATAGGAGTTCTGATCCGTTTCCGAAGACAGCCCGTGGCAATCATGACTGATGTCGAGCAAATGTTTTTCTGATTTCTCGTTAAAAGAGAGCACAGAGACTTTCTGCGGTTCCTGTGGTATAAAGACAACGACCCTGATAAGGAAATAGTCGAATATAGGATGAAAGTTCACGTATTCGGCAACAGTCCATCACCGGCAGTGGCAACTTACTGTCTCAGGAAATCTGTCGGAGGGACACATCCGGATTGCAGCCCTGCTGTTGTTCAGTACGTCCACCGTGATTTTTATGTGGATGATGGACTAAAGTCAGTGTCTACTGTAGGAGAGGCCATCTCCTTGCTGAAGGAAACCCGAAATGTTCTGGCACCATCCAACTTGAGATTACATAAAATAGCCTCCAATAAAAAGGAGGTTCTGGACGCTTTCCTACAGGGGACCTCGCCAGTGACATCAAACATCTGGACCTCAATGAGGAGGCTGTACCGATGCAACGTAGCCTGGGACTTGATTAGGACCCAGAGAGTGACTGCTTCACCTTTCGAGTTGCAGATGAAAAGAAGCCTTATACACGCAGAGGCGTCTTGTCAACAACCAACAGCCTCTACGACCCACTTGGTTTCGTAGCTCCTGTTATCCTCCAAGGCAAGTTCATTTTACGGGAGATGACATCCGATAAGGTTGGTTGAGATACTCCTTTACCTCCTCAGAAGGAGCAACTTTGGACTGCATGGCGCGACTCCCTACAAGAACTCCACAACCTCCAGATACCAAGGACTTACATCACTAAGTCACCCACTGCAGCATCTTCCGAGGAGTTGTGTGTCTTCTCGGGCGCGTCGACTAAGGCGATTGCTGCAGTAGCCTACCTCAGAGTCACCTATCTTGATGGTACTTGTGAGGTGGGTTTCATCATGGGGAAAATGAAAATGGCACTGCAACCTGAGACCTCTGTGCCCAGACTGAAACTCTGTGCTGCCATCCTGGCGGTTGAATTGGCAGATATGATTCTCCCAGAGCTTGATATGCAAGTGAACTCTACCATCTTTTTCACTGATAGCAAGGCCGTTCTTGGCTATATAGGCAATGAACATCGCCGCTTTTATGTCTATGTCAGCAATCGAGTTCTGCGCATCCGTCGATCATCTCAGCCTAAACAGTGGCATTACGTACCCAGGGATAAAAACCCAGCTGACTGTGGAACCAGATCAGTTCCTGTCATCCAAATATCTACTACAGCCTGGCTCAACAGTCCATCTTTCCTCTCCAACTCTTTGTTCAAACGTTTTGAACCCAGCTCCTACTACCTTATCGATCCTGAAAACGACGTCGAAATCCGTACAATAGTGGCAACCTTCACCACCCACTCCTCCCTTGTGCTGCTCAGTGATCATCGCTTCAGGAAGTTCTCCACATGGACGGCACTTACACAGGCAATCGCTCGTTTGATCCACATCTCTCAGTCATTTCAGAAAGAGACTAGGTTGAATGACTGTAAGGGCTGGCCTTACTGTCGAGCACCGTTTCCGGTAGAAACACTGGCGAAATCGAACAACGTGGTCCTCCGGTCGGCGCAAAGAAACACGTACGCTTTGGAATTCTCTTGCTTAACAGAGAATAGGGAACTTCCCATGAGCAGTGCACACAGGAAATTAGACCCATTTGTGGACGGCCAACGTCTCCTCAGAATCGGAGTTCGCACACGAAGAGCGGGACTAGATCGTAGCGAGATGCACACCGTTATCTTATCCGGCAATCACCATATAGCGTCCCTGCTCATTAGGCACCACCATAAGCAGGTACATCACCAGGAACGTCACTTCACAGAGGGCGCAGTCCGTGTTGCTGGCTTCTGGATTGTCGGTGGAAAGAGAAGTGTCAGCAAAACCATCCACTACTGTGTAATTTGCAGAAAGCTCCGTGGACCTATGTAGATTCAAAAGATGGCAGACCTACCAGAAGATCGCCTATCTATGGAACCTCCCTTCACAAATGTGGGGCCCATTACTTCACGTCGGACCAGAGGAGGCTTGGCCTACAGCAAGCAGTGGGCCACCATATTTACATGCATGACCACAAGAGCAGTTCACATCGAGGTCTTGGAGTCACTCGATACATCAAGCCTGATAAATGATCTCAGGCGCTTCTTTTCCATCAAGGGTCCTGCAAAACACCCTTTCTGACCAAGGATCCAATTTTGTCGGAGCCAGAAATGAACTCGGAATCAATTCCACCCTAGACGCAAGTGCGGTGAGTAAACACCTCCCTGACTACGGTTGTACCTGTTATTCAACCCTCCGCATGCACCACACATGGGTAGAGCGTGGGAAAAGAATGATAGGTATAGCCAAGAGAATTCTCTATTCCATGTTGCTGCAACATGGATGTACCAAACTAACCCGTGAACTGCTCACCACCTTTCTGGTTGAGGTAGCTGCCATTGTTAATAACAGACCACTTGTCCCGGTATCCACAGACACAGAGGACCCAGTTCTGCTAACACCTTCAACACTCCTCACCCAAAAGATTAGCTCTGTTCCTGCACCGAAGGGTGACTTCACCACAAAGGACGTTTCTAGACGACAATGGAGGCATGTTCAACATCTTGCGCAGAGGTTTTTGAACCTTGTGGAAGGGCCAGTACCTCCCTCTTTTGCAGGCCTGATGCAAATGGACTTCCAGCATTCTAAACCTGGCAGCGTGGTTCTTTTGAAAGACCAGGATTCAAAGAGAAACGAATGGCCCTTGGGACTGGTTACCCGTATCATTCCTAGCCGAGATGGAAGAGTGCGACAGGTCGAAAAGAAAATTCATGAAAATGACCGTGCAAAATTGTTCCTAAGACATGTGACAGAGACAGTACTTCTCCTTCCCCGACTTCCATCTGAGCCTATCAGTTAAAACACACCATCTTCCTCCTCTATCCCATCTGTATAACCACTTTCCATGTCGCTTTGCTCTCCATGATTTAATTTTTTTCACAGAACACTTACTACTTTTTTCCTTATCTTCTTTTCTTTTTCTCCTGCAATTTCCCCTGCCAAACCCACTTACATCAAACTTACAAACACAAACGTAAAACAGACGTAAACTAGAAACTTTCAACCGAACCTTTTGAGATTCCACAATCTCAGGCGGGGAGTATCACGTTTGTAATGTCGACCTTCCGTCAGCAAGGACAAATTCACTGTACACCGCTTTTTTGTTTGTTTACTATTTTACCTCTCGTCTCGCTGTGACTTCTTTTTCTTGTTAGTGTCTTTACTTTTATTTTTTTATCTTTTCCTTTCTCTTTCCTTTGTGTTTTCTAGTATAGACTATGTTTCCTTAGATTTAAATCCCTTTTTTTATCACGCATTACCGTTATTATCTACTCTGGGCGACGTGATAAGCCACGTGAATAGAGTTTTTTTTGGCGGGATCTTCAGAGTTCTTCTTGGTTCGGTCCCTGCATGCATGCACCCTTGCTCGCCGCTCCACCTTTCCATATAACTTTGATTTTTTACCTGATTCACGGAATAAAATCTTTCGTTTTTCAATGAAATTCGTCCGTGTTTTGTGAATTCGAGTTTACACTGGCTGTCTAAAGGAATGTGCTTTTTAGCATTTTGTCCAGGGCAGCACAATGGGGTCTAGTCAGGATTTCATAGAGTCTATGAGGTTATAGAATCGTCAATGTTTGTCTACAAAAAAATAGACTCTTCTATAAGAATTAGCTTTGACCAATCAACACCACACATTGTGAAACTCGGCTTGTTATTGGTCGAGACGACCCTAGAATGTGTATCTATGGTCAAAAATCTGTTTTCCCGCCAGGCCACTGGGAGCCTACTTTGGTTTCCCAAATCAAATAAAAGGACGAATTTCAGTCCAATTCGCCAGTCAGATCTACATTCCTAGAGAGATACCAGACTGACCCACGCAAGTCAAAACTCTGACCAACCAGGACTTTGCCGCGCAAAATATCTGACTCAACAATCCACAAACACACTCTATCTCTCTCAAGAACATCACTTACAATACTTTGAAAAGTGGCATTTTCTTCTCACTACTTAATAAGTATTAGTAAACAAACAATCAAATTCTCACACAACTAAAGGTACGTAACTCCTGCCAATTATACAAACATACTTACGCACACACACTAATAACTGAACTAGCACAAAGGACAATTTAGTACGTAACTGGACACTTAGTTTAATTCTGTGAACAAATCTGAATAGCAATTGCAAACACCTTCAAACATTCACAATAATATTCTACACAGCCAAATACACCTATTTTCATTTGTCCATTTAAGTTCAAATCAATTTTTATTCTCAAAATTGTATATTTGTACATAAATGCATTTTGTTCTATTGAAATCTGATGATCAGTGTTCTTTACTCACTTGCCTGTTGATTGATTCGTTTTTTATGAATGTCTATCTATATTGTTGCGGATAAATATTTTGAACATGCCCATAAACTAACCATCTAAAAATAAAAAACCTTCTGATACCAAATACAAACCCATAGCAATCCCAACAAGGTATTGTGGTGGTTGTAGTAAGAATGGTAAGTAAGAATGTGGCGTTTTGGTGCAAGGGTCATTGTGGCATGTCTGGGTCAGTAATTGTGGCTAGTTAAGTTTTAGTATAAGACAGATGATGACCAACCTTTCCTTTTCCTCATTATTGGGTTTGTGTCCTATTTGTACTCATGTGCATCAAATATTAGGTTGTCCCAAAAGTTCGTAAACACTTGCGAAAAATTGAATATTTATGCAATTTTTAATTTTTCTTTTACTTTATTGTTAATTTTGAAAAAAATTTATTTCATTAAAATTTTTATTTAATTGTTTTTTGCGTTTATATTGTTATAGTGATCTTCATTTTTGTATTCCAGATGTCAATTGATAAAATTGAGCTGAGAGTTTTGATTCGTTACTGCTGGAAGCGAGGTCTTTCAACCAGAAAAGCTGCAGAAGAGATTTGTGCTGCCGAAGGTGAAGGAACAATTGCATATGCGGCGATCTCAAAGGGGTATAAGCGTTTCGATTCTGGCGACATGAGTCTTGAAGATAAGCCTCGTTCGGGACGGCCGTTAAAGTTGGATGATGAACATTGCGCCTTCATTGAGCACTCGAGAATTGGCTGATGAGCTTTGGAGTTGGCAAATCGACAATTCACCGACACTTGAAACAACTTGATTTTGTTCACAAAAAGCCGTGCCAAGATCCGCACGAACTCACCGAAGCACAAGCCAACAGACGAGTTGAAATTTGCCGTCAATTGCTCAGCAATCCATTGGAGGAGCGTTTTTGGAAGCGCATTGTGACATCGGACGAGAAATGGGTCTATCTGGTCCAGCACAATCAAGACAAGCGATGAGTTCAGAAAGAGCAAGAGACGTCGTCGGTTCCAAAACAAGATCGATTCGGCAAGAAAGTCATGTTGTGCGTTTGGTGGAACTTTGAAGGAATCGTGCATTTTGAGTTGGTTCCGAATGGTCGTGCCATCAGTGCCGAACTTTACTGTCAGCAACAGGAGCGGGTCTACGAAAAGTTGAAGCAAAAGTACCCGGCTCTGATCAACCGAAAGCGCGCTTTGATGCAGCAGGACAATGTCAAACCACACACCGCCAGGAAGACCAAAGACAAGTTTGAAGAGCTGGAAGGCGTTGAGGTTCTGCCACATCCAGCCTACAGTCCTGACTGTACTCCATCAGATTACGGCCTTTTCCGCTCAATGCAGCACTTTCTGAAGGGCCGCCAATTCGACTCGTTTGATGAAGTCGAGGAAGCATGTCAAGAATTCTTTGATTCGAAGCCGGCTGAATGGTACTTTCACCAGATCCGAAAGCTTGCAGATCGATGGCAGAAAGTCTTGGAAAATGATGGTGAGGAATAATTTTTGTTGTTTTTGTTATTACTTGGCGAGTAAAATTTCAATTTTTTGCAAGTGTTTACGAACTTTTGGGACAACCTATTAGGATTAAATGAAAGTCTGAAAGAATATAACTACTTGTTACCAAGTCCGGGGGAAATTTTTTCCAAATTAAATGGTTATAATTTTTATCTAAATTGGATCTTTCGGATGCTTACCTAGAAGTACAAGTAGACGAAGCGTGTCCTAAACTTTAACAATTAACACTCATAAAATACTGTACAAATTTAACCGATTTCCTTTTGGTATGAAGGTAGCACCAAGTATATTCCAACAGATTATGGATAAAATGTGTTATATAGGAATAAAGTGTCGCTGCCGACAGTTTGAGTTTGAACATAGATCGCCAGTGAGCAAACACAGGCGATTCCATTATTGAATTAAGTAGACCACGTGACCATAGAGAGAACACATATATGGCAGGTAACGTGACGTCCAGTTGATCGCAATTTCTAGTCTATCCTCTATACTATACGTCTCTATTTCTAGTCTGTCCTCTATTACTATTCAGATCACTATTTCTATTCTATCCTCTATACTATATGGATCGCTATTCTGTACTCTATTCTCTATCATAAAATTGGCGACAAGGATTCGCAAGTATTCCTTGAACTTACACGAGAATTCGTTCAGCAGAGTACAGCTATCATGGTTCAAATGTTGCAGCAACAAAAATTATAAGAACAACACTTGCAACAAAAAAGACAACGACAGCAATTACAATTGCAACTACAGCAACAGAAGTTTACCAAAAGCATTGAAGAAAACGCTTCAGATTCATTCACTCCAGATTCTGTTGCTAATTCAATCATCGAATTTGTATACAATCCAGATGAAGGGATAACTTTTCCAGCTTATTATAGAAGATATGAAAGAATCTTCAAAAGGGATTGTTTGCATTGGAATGATGAAAAGAAAGTTCGGTTATTATTACGGAAATTGTCCCCTGCTGATCGTGAAAAATATGCAGATTTGATTGGAGCCATTTGTGTTGTCTCTGTCGGTTGAAAATGGTTTATTGCTCTGGTGGTGGATTCCAGGGTGGTGGATTCCGACCAGGTCATTCAGGGTTGGCAAAGATTTGATTTCCGTCAAAATCTTACACTGATGGGAGGTGTCCCTTAGGCCGGCAATGATTTGGGATTTAATGATGTCCTCGGAGAATGAGGTTGTGCAGTGCTGGTTATCACGACCACATTGTCTCTCGAAGGCACAGAGCATCGCTTGTGACTTCAGTCTGGATACAAACGACGTGATGGTTTCTCCATCGCTCTGCTTCATTGCGAAAAATTGCTGACGGTATACTTCTGGGTGGACGGATTTCACGGCAACGGATTTAATATATTCCAGCAGTTGTTCCTCTGTGGCATTATTAAGGGCATCTGGACCAACGAAATTGAAGAGCATTTCGTTGACGAACGAACTACATCCGGATTGTAGCTCGTTTCGGGTCTCGGTTGGGTCGGTGAGCTGGGTCATTTCTTTGTAACGGGACCATGCATCTCTAAAGATGATCCATTTATTATCCGACATGTCGGATTCTATCACCGGGCGCTCGGGCTTTACGCGCTGGTGGCGCGACGGGGTGGGTGCATTTTGTTCGGCGGGCAGGACACGTGCCATTAGGCGTGTCATCTGTTCCTGTATGGCGAGTTGCTGTTGCTGCATTTGCAATACGAAGGTCATTGGGTCGACTTCGGTTTGTTGTCCTGTTAGGGGTTCATCTGGATTTTCAACGTGGGTTGTGTTCTGCTTTGTATTGAACATTTTAAGTGAGTGTAGAGAACAGAACAAAAGAAACATAGGTAAAACATACAGTAAATTGTGACACTGTAACGAACGAGCTTAAATAATGGGTGATAAGGTGGTTCAGATGTTAATATGTCGGGCGAGGGTATGTAGTAAATTTCTACATTACCATGTGCGATCTTACCATGCTACGCCGGGTCCCCATTTGTTTGTCCGTCGTCGAATA